GATTTGAACCGCTGAACTGCCGATCTAGCAGTAGCCTGCAGTGCTGCATCTAACCACTGCGCCACCTTGGCTCTCAGGGGATCCCAGGGGAAACCCAAGAATGGCGCTTTCGGGGAATCTGCTGCAATCTGGTGGGGTGGAAATAGAATCTTTGAAGTGGGAAATTAACGCTGATTTCTCAGCAACTGGTCACGGTTTTTTTTTTTTTTTACATCAGCCGATTGGCTCCGCCAGTTTGAAACACAAAGTTTATTTCAAAGAAGAAGAAGAAGAAAGTAAAATCAAAGGACAAATAATAATAAAAAGAAAACTTTACATCAACTGGAATGGAAGAGAAGCATTCCCTGAAGCTATGGAGAGGGTCTGGAGAGGGGTGGGGTGGGATGGAGGGGGTGGAGAGGATGGTATTGATTAGGTTTAACAATTACAATATATCCAAGATAATGCAGATCGTCCTAGGAAGACAAAGGATCGATGGCGGAAGTATGCAATTGCATACGACAACAGTCCATGAATGTGCGGGAGGTGGTAGAGAGATTTTGGGTTGCAAGGCAGGGGTTGAACCAGGGGAAGAGGCCTCACCTTCCTACCCACCTCTTGTCCAAAGGCGTCCCGTATTCCGGCCCCATCGCTTTCCACAAGGGCTTCGAGGCACCGTGCCCCCTGGCCGCCACCACGCCCACCCCAGGGCACGAGGAGGGCGGGCAAAGGGAGGCAGAGCAGGGTACAGCCACAAACTGCTAAAAGCGCCAAGGGGGCATGAGTGGTACACAGACAAAAGACAGGTGGGGCTGGAGAAGGTCCCAGCCAGGAAGCAGGCCATCCTTCCATCCTGAACGGGTGAGGGAGGCGGCCGAGGGGAAGGGGGGGGGGGGGGAAGAGGCAGCGGCTTGTCTTATTTGGCGGTCATCATCTGTACAAACTCTACGGAGCAAGGAGAGAGGACGGAGAAGGGCGTCAGGGCCTGCTGAGGAAGGGGCTACCGAAAGGACAATGCCTCCCACCCGTTAATGAATCTGTTCAGACAAGCAAATTGTTCCAAGAACATAACAGTAGTGGCCAAAATTGTGGAAACCTTTTGGGGAACGTATACAGTATTCTTCAGGTTTGATGGCGAATAACACCGCTTTTGTTTTTAAGTAGTCCCATAAAATTACATATCAATGGAAAGATAATTTAATCAAGAATGTAATGCAATAACTTTTATGAAGGATTTGCTATTACAATAGCGGTTATGAAGAAGACAAGTGAAACATGTAGAAAAAAGGAGCTATACAAAAATTATCACGATAGAAAAAATGAGATATACAAAAATTATCACCATGTCAGTTAATACTTAGTTGGGTAAACTTTAGAATGAATTTTGGCCTTACAATGTCTTCCCATGGAGTGAACCAAGTCATTTACTTCTCTAGCTGTTATAAGGTTTTGAAACCAAGATTGAATGACTGCTTCTATTAACTGGGTTTTATTGCTGGCTATATTTGGCTACAACCTTTCACAGAATACAGATAACGGAACAAACTTTGTTGCGTTACATTCTTGATTAAATGATCTTTCCGTTGATATATGACTTTATGATCCTACTCCAAAAAAGGTGGTGTTATTAGCCGTCAAACTTCAAAAATACACTTTTCCCAAAAGGTTTCCACAATCTTGGCCACTACTGTACACTGTTAGTTAGATCTGTGTCTCTCAACCCTCGGCCACTTTGAAGAAGGGTGGACTTCAACTCCCACAATTCCCTGGCCACCTTGACAGACAGGGCCTCCTCATGAGCAAAAGATGCAGATCAAGGTTAAAAATTGGTCCTGAAACTACTGTGTAGGGTCTGTTGGGCGGGACTAGATGACCTACAAGGTCCCTTCCAACTCTTGTTAATCTGTTATCTACCTGTAGGTCAATGTCTCTGAAACCTTGGCCACTTTGAAGAAGATGGGACTTCAACTCCCAGAATTCCCTAGCCAGCCGCTTTCAAAGTGGCCAAGGCTGATGCACCAAAATGGAAACAAAACTACAGTGTTTCCCTGAAAATAAGACAGGGTCTTATTATCTGGGGGAAGGTCTTATTTTCAGGGGAAACAGGGGTGCACAAACCAAAGTCCTTTGAGGTGGTTTGTAAAAGGGGGATCTGAACCCACCTTTCCTCCCCCCATTTCTAGCCTTCAGTGTTCTCAAGAGCTCCGCTTGCCCAGTAAGAGGGGGGGGGGGAAATATACTAAAACATTTGCCTGGCATAAATGCCACCTGCACAAGAGGGCGTGTGCTCACTTTCGACCCCACCCCCCCGAGGGTCTTTAGCCCCCTTACCTTCGTAATTGACTTGCCCATCCCCATCTATGTCGGCTTCTCGGATCATTTCATCCACCTCTTCGTCCGTCAGCTTCTCGCCCAGGTTGGTCATCACGTGGCGCAGCTCGGCGGCGCTGATGTACCCGTTGCCATCCTGGAGAGAAAAGGAAGGAGGGACAGATCAGCCTCAACTTACAACGGTTCATTTAGCGTCCCTTCAAAGTTATAGAGGCACTGAATTAATGACTTAGGACCAACAACAACCATTTAGGATTACAGTCAAAGACCAGCGACCCAAACAAATAAAATCACTTAGGATATATACACTGAAAACTTCTAGTATAAAATAATACCATATTTTTGGGAGCATGACGCACCAAGGTTTTGAAGAGGCAATTTTAAAAAAAAATTAGGTAGGTAGATAGAGGGATAGAGAGGGAGAGAAAGGACTTGTAAAAAAACAGTCT